AGTGTGTAGTGTGGATTTGGCTTCCGGATGGTTCTCTGTAGCCTGACCCAGGGTGACCCCGGGAGAAAGGCTGGGGTTGGAGGAAGGGGGCCTGGCCACATGGTGAATGCCAGTCTGAGGGTGAGCCATCGCTGAGGAGCCCCCAGGGTCCTGAGCAGAGGAGGGATGGGGCTACGTGTCCCCAGCGTGGGTCTCGTGGGATCTGTGCTCTGGATTGGTGGGGAGAGTGGGCACGCAGGTAAGGAGGTGCTGAGGGTGTAGGTGGGGCCACAGCCCCTGGGCGCCCAGAGCTGGGCACGGTGAGTAAAGGGGGGAGCCGGCCAGCCACGTCCCACCCTCCCAGAGGTCACCTCCCAGGGAAGTGGGTGAGAAGGTGTCTCATGAGCGAGAAGCGAGGAGCCATTTCAGGGTGGTCGTATCTGGAGGGTGGTCCCTGTGTAGACACCGAGCAAGGCCAGGGGGCGGCCGAGGAGAAGGCAGCTGGAGAGAAGCGGGGGATGGCACCTGGACCTACCGTAGCCAGCCTAGCGGGATGGCTGTCGACTTGGAGCCCAGGCGGGGGTGTGCGGGGGGGGGGGGGGCGGCTCCGTGGCTCCTCACGGCCCCTCTCTGGCCACCCCCCGTGCCCCTAGGAGCCGCTCCCGCTCCGGGGACCGGTACAGGCGGGGCGGCCGGGGTCCCCGGCACCACAGCAGTAGCCGCAGCCGCAGCAGCTGGTCCCTCAGCCCGTCCCGCAGTCGCAGCCTGACTCGGAGCCGCAGCCCCAGCCAGAGCCGCAGCCGCAGCCAGAGCCGCAGCCGCAGCCGCAGCCAGAGCCACTCGCCATCGCCCCCAAGGGAGAAGCTGACCAGGCCGGCGGCGTCCCCTGCTGTGGGCGAGAAGCTGAAAAAGTAAGCGGGGGCAGGGGGGCTGGGGGAGGACAGTCGTCAGCCTCAGGCGAGGTGGCTGAGCCCCACCGTTTTCTCTTTCTGAAGAGGGCTTGGTCCTGCCTCGGGAGGTCCGAGGGGCACATGGCCCCAACTTGGGAGGGTAGATCTGAGGGGCGTCCGAGGAGTCGCAGCCCTTCCTCGGATGAGGGTTTAGGGGACACGGCCCTAGCATGTCTCGAGAGAGCCGAGAGGCACAGTGTCTCCTCGGGGGCGTCCGAGGCCCACTGTCCTCAGACGGTCCCGAGGTTGCCTGGGGTCAGAGGTGGCAACCGTCCTTTCCTCCTCCCAGGACCGAACCTGCCGCTGGTAAAGAGACAGGAGCTGCCAAAGTCAGTAAGAATTTGGAACTCGGCCGTCTAATTCCCGCCAGCAGCAGTGCCCGAGAGCTGGGCCCGGTGGGCCTGCAGGGGGGGCCCGGGGGGGGGGGGGGGGGTCGGGAGATCCAGCCCCGGGGTCGAAGGGGGCTGGGAATGCTCTGCCCCTTGAGATCTGCGTCCCCCTCCCCTCCTCAATGTCCAGCGGGGCTCCAGCCGTCCCCAGGCTTCCCAGACCCTTGTGGCGGGCATCTGCGGCCTGTCCCTCCTCCCCACGCGCCCCCGCAAGACCCAGGCTCTTGGATGAGGTAGGTTGTTGGAGCTCCGGACACCCACCCCCTCTCCCGCCTCTTCTCCCCCTTCCCCAGCCCAAGCTGACGCCACAGGAGAAGCTGAAGCTGCGGATGCAGAAAGCACTGAACAGGCAGTGTATGTCCCACCACGTGCGCCCGGTCTCCCCGGCCCCTTTCCGGCGTCCTGTGGGGGAGGCCCTGCCCTTCCCTGCACGGGCGGGCATCAGCGTGCATGCCGTTCTGCCACCGCGCTAAGGGCCTTGGCCGTCTGGTGGGCCTCTCTGGGCTCAGCTTCGGCGTCGGGAAAGGGGGGGGGCTCTTGAGGGCACCCCTCAGCGGTCGTGTCCCTCTTTCGCTACAGTCAAGGCGGATAAGAAGGCGGCGCAGGAGAAGATGATACAGCAGGAGCACGAGCGCCAGGTAGGAGTGAGACTGAGGAGTGGGGGCGGGACGGGGGGTGCCGGCCGGGCCCCCCCTCACGGCCATCTCTGCCACAGGAGCGGGAAGACGAGCTTCGAGCCATGGCCCGCAAGATCCGCATGAAGTAAGACCGTCGCGCTCCTGCCTCTAGGTCACAGCCACCCGCTCGTGGGCTGCCCAGCGTTCTCAACCGCCCGGTCCCTAGCTAGAGCCCTGTGGTCTGCTCCAGCCCTAGGGGTGGAAGGCAAAGTGCCCGCCTGGCCCTCAGGGTCCTCCCTCCGTCCTCAGCCTTTGCGCCGCACCTGCTGGGTCTCCTCCCGGCTCTGCCGGCCCCGGAGCACGGAGCCTCTGCTGTTCCTTCGCCTGGCTTCGTTTGTGGGGGGGGTTCCCGGAGGGGGGCTCCCTGACTGTCCTATCTAGGGTAGCACCCCAAAACACTCCATCCCCCGAGGCTGCTGTGTTTTCTTCAGAGTACTAACCCCCGCTTGGCACGTGCTGTTCTGTCATCTCGCTTACTAGTTGATGCCCCTCAAAGTGAGATGAGGACGGGTTCGGTGCTGGCTCCCTGCTGTGCGCTCAGCCCCCGGAACACAGAAGTGGTGCTTAGTAAGCCAACCCCGTGGTGGCTTCCTCTTCTCCCCTTCTGTTCCTCAACTCCTCACTGCAAAGTGGACAGGCTCGGGGCCTGGGTCAGACAGACGTGAAGTCTAGTTCCAGCTCTGCCTCTCTGTGACCGTGTGGCCCCAGGGGCGGTTGCCAGCTCTTTCCTCGCTTCAGATGTTTTTTCATTTTTTTTTTAAATTTATTTTTGAGAAGGTGGGGGGAGGAGAGAAGACACAAGCGGGGGAGGGGCGGAAAGCAAGGGAGACCCAGAATCTGAGGCAGGCTGTGCTGACAGCTCAGAGCCTGACGCAGGTCTCAAACCCACGAACCACAAGATCATGAGCTGAGCTGAAGTTCAGTGCTTAACTGAGCCACCCAGGCGTCCACTCCTTTTTTTTTTTTTTTTTTTAAATTATTTTTATTTATCTTATTTCACTTAAAATCTCATTTCATGCTCTGCAGCCAGGACAGATCTCGGTGACGACCTCACAGGGTAGCTCAGGGATTAGTAGTGCTCGGAAACCGTAGGCCTGCTCGCTCGGGGCCGGTGTGCAGAACCAGAGATCTAAGTGCTCAGTGTTGGCGAGGAGGAGAGTCCGTCGGTGGCAGGGCCATGTTTCTTTCTGGTTCCACTCGTACTTGATGTGGGTCCTCAGACAAGCAACTTCACCTTCGAGCGGGGACTCTCCACTTCCTCTCCGGGGGAATCCTTCCGTGGGGCTTCCAGCGCGGTCCCTAGCATGTCAGAAGTCTGCTCGTTGTATTTGTCGCTGTGGTTTGCTTTTTGCGAGCCCATCGTGTGTGCCTCTGAGGACGCTGCCTGCTTGTCAGGTGGGGAAGCAGAGTGCCCAGGGACTCAGCGTTGTGGCCAGTTCTGATCCTGCCTCTGCCGCCCCCGGCTGTGGGCCTTTTTTCCTGTCTGGGCCTCCGTTTGCTCGTCTGCTAAATGAGGATGGAACAGTTGTCCCTCCTTACAGGCTTGTTGGCTGGATTCACTGAGATCAGGGCCGGGCGGGTAGAAGGGGCCCAGTCCCCGACTTTATGACAAAGGCTGGTAAAGCACGGAGTGTGTGAGGCCCTGTGTTTTGAGACCACCGAAACTGACAGGAAGTGGCCAGACTTTCCAGTTCTGTATGTTTGTTCAGCAGGCCTTTCGAAGCCAGGCCGACTGGCATTCCAGTCCTGGCTCTGCCCAGCCTGTTCCCTCCGAGCTCAGTGTTCTCATTTCCAATCAAGGACGGCAGCAGTACCTGCCCTTGGGTTTACCCTGCCCTTGGACTGGGATGTTGGAAGCACCTGCCCCGGGCAGGCAACCCAGCCCGCCCTCAAGTTCAGCATTCTCTCCGCGTGCTCATGCCTTCCCCCGGGTCGCCTCCCTTTCTGTGCAGGGAGCGGGAACGCAGAGAGAAGGAGAGGGAAGAATGGGAACGTCAGTACAGCCGGCAGAGCCGCTCACCCTCCCCCCGCTACAGTGAGTATCCCCACGGCCGCCGCTGGATGCCACGTCGAGGTCCAGCCCTGGAGCCCCGTCCCTGGGCGTGTGTGTGCTTTGTTCTCTTTTCTCTCCAGGTCGAGAATACAGCTCTTCCCGAAGGTAAGCAAGCCAGCCCCGCTCCCTGGAACATGACGTCCCCGCCTCGATTCTCCATTCCCTCTCTGTACCCCTCTGCGTGTGGAGGCTGGCCTGGTCCCGTTAGCGTCCCTCCCTCCGCAGCTCGCTCCCGGTCACGGGTGCGTGTGCATGCAGTGTGGCTGCTTCACCCAGCCCTCACGGGGTCCCTCCTTTCTCTCTCCAGGCGCTCAAGGTCGCGATCTCGAAGTCCCCATTACCGACATTAGGCAGAAGTGTGGGGGGCTGGGGGGTGGGGTGAGGGCTCAGGCTGTGATGCTGCTGGTTTTATCTCTAATGAAATAAAATCACTCGCTATTTAATTCCCTTTACCCGGCCTCGGTGTCATCTGTGTGGTCAGTGTCCAGCCACCAGGGATAGCTGGGGAGGAAGCTGGTTGGGTCTGGGGACAGGAGCCAACGCTAGGAGCCCACGTGGCAAGTCCTGCCCACACCTGGGTGTCTAGGTGGCGGCTCCTTGTTCATCAGAAGTGCTTCTGCTGCAGTCCGTGAGGGCAGGGGCACGATCAGTGGGGATCTGTGGGGAAGGGCCTGGACCGGGCATGTGGAGGACGGGCCAGGACTTTGCCCAGGGGCCTCTGGTGACAGGTCCGGGCTTCTCCCCACCCTCGTCTCGGCCCCTGCCCTGGCCTCGCCCAGACTGGGAACCGGGAGCACGGCTTTCTGTGCCAGTCTTGCCGTGCCTGGGGCACTGGGGGCTGGCCTTTCCCCTCACCCCCTCGCTGCAAACCGGTCTGTCCAGCCGTCCACCCTAAAGAGGGAAGCCTCCCGCCCCACCTCAGACACCCCAAGAAAGCCAGAGTCCAAACGTGTGTGTTCTAGGCGGGAGGTTTACTCGCAGCAGAGCCAAGGCCAAGGTCGACAAGCACAGTAACGGTGGTACCAGGGACCGCAGAGAGGGCGTTCCCGCGCCTCAGGCGTCCCCGGCCACCTCGGGGTGCTTCTGCCGCAGGTGTTTGTCCAGGGTGGCACGCAGGCCGAAGGGCACACAGCAGTGGGGACATTCGAAGCGGGTGCTGCCCGGCCCCAGGCCGTGCATGCGGCGGTGGCGGTTGAGCTTGCTGCTCTGGGCACAGGCGTAGGGACAGAGCTCGCAGGTGTAGGGCCGCTCGCCCGTGTGTGAGCGCCGGTGCACCGTCAGGTTGCTGCTGTTGGTGAAGTGCTTTCCACAGAACTCACAGCTGCCCCCGGGCCCGCGGCTCTTGACCGCCGGCTTTGGCAGCTTCTTGGGGGACGTCGGGCCCTTCGCAGGTTCAGTTCTCTGTTCCTTGGCGGTAGCTTCCCAACTGGCCCCGCCGGGGCCCACCTGCGCCCCACCACTGGGAGCCCCGGGTTCCTGGACCCCCGCCGTGGCGGCCGCTCCGGCGCTCTCGCCGCTGCCGCACAGGAGGGTGCTGGCCGGGGCTGCGGCGTGGGCCGCTGGCTCAGGAGGGGCAGCGGCAGAGGCCTGTTCTGGGCTGGCTCTGGCCTTGAAGGGGCTCTGAGGCCGTGGCTGCCGGTGGGTCTTCTTGTGGCGGTTGAGCTTGCTACTCTGGGTACAGGTGTAGGGACACTGGTCACAGGCATAGGGCCGCTCGCCTGTGTGCGAGCGCATGTGCACTTTGAGATTGCTGAAGGAGCTGAGGGTCTTCGCGCACACGGGGCAGGTGGGGCTCCGCCGCGGGGGGATGCTCACCCGGGGGCCCTTGGCCTCCGCTTCCGGCTCCACCACTGCCGACACGGCAGCGGCCACCTCTGCCAGGCCCAGCAGCGGGGCCTCCGGGGCCTCGGGTTCCGTCTGGTAGATGGACAGTCCGTGGTCCCACTGGGCATGGCGCAGCAGTTTCCAGGCCCCTGAGAACTGTCTCCCGCAGCGGAAGCAGCCCAGGGCCTTGGGGTCGTGGCGTTCTGCAACGAGAAAGGCCCGGCGTTAGATGGGGAAAAGCGACAGTTGCGACTCACGCCTGCCAGGCGGACACCTTCTGCGGGAAAGGCTCCACTCCGGGGGCTGAGAAGGCCCAGTAAGGAAGGCAGGCGAGACCCCCGTCCTCCAGAAGCTGATGCTCAGAAGCGGGCGGGCAGGCAAGTAAGGAAAACCTGCGGAGTGGATGGTGCACACCTGAGGATTTTCTGTGTTTGCAAGTCTTCACCAGAAGTGAAAGCAGGGTGAGGGATGGGGTGGGGAGGGCCGTTTTATAGGAGGGAGTCGGGAAGGGAGGTCAGGCAAAGACCTTTCCCCAAGCTCACGAGCTTAGAAGGGTGGAGTTGGGGTTTCAACCCAGAACCCTGGGGAGCGGGAGACGGGTTTTCAAAGAAGATTGTCGGCTTAATACAGCTTTTGATTACTGAGCGGGGTTCTGTGCCAGGCCCCAAGTTCATGGGTTCCATGCACGGTCTCCTATTCCCTGCCTTGCAGAAGAGGGGGCCGAGGAGGGAAGCAGCCACCTAGAAGTTGGGAGGGGTAGTGAGAGAGGTTCCCTCTCCCTCTGCGTGGACCCCAAATTAAGAGCCCTCCAAATGGGGTGTCTTCTCTAGACCCTCCAGGTACTATCAGTACCTTACTCTTCAAGTCCTAGACAGTCTTGGGTGGGGTGGCTTTCCGGACGCAACACCAGGTCAGGAGCACAGATGGGGGCTGGAGAGTGCCAGCCTCTCGTGTCCACCAGCTAGTTCTTAGGCTCCCTTGCTGTGTGGCCTTGGGCAAGAAACACTCCTCTCTGGCCCTGTTTTCTCATTTGTTAGAACACGGGGATTCTAACCTTCGAGGGGCGTTGTGACGTTGAACGGAGAAGAACCGAAAGTCTTGGTCCATGTAAACCCTCAGTAAACATGAACTGCACTACACCCACGTGGCGGGAGTGCCCACGCTCCACCAAGTCCCAGCACCTGGGAGTGTTCCAGTGATTCCATCATAGCCCCTCCCTGGGCCACCAGGCCACCCTGCCGGCTTCAACTCTCGGGCTGATCCAGTCACAGCCCCCCCCCCCCCACCCCGGCGCCGGGCCCGGCGTGAATGGGGGGCTAATTCTATTTCTCAAAAGTCCTAGGAGCACAATGGCCAGGGGATGAAAATTTGTAGGTTTAGATGCCCCCCCACTGCCTGTGATGACCAAAAGCTTCCCGCGAGTCTAGTATCACGTCAAGGGCTTTCATTCCCTTCTAAGAGAAGGAACCCAGGTGTCCAGACACCGAGGACCTGGCCCAAACCAGGGGCTTCCCAGCGGGCAGGGCTGGGAGATTCCATCAGAGAGGGAAGCCAGAAGCCCCTTCCTTGGCTCTGAGCAAATGCACCGGCACCTCAATCGGCACTAATAATGGGGTGGGAGGGGGTGGTAATGCGCACTTCCAGCTGGCCTCAGCCTCCCCTCCCCCAGGCCGCTGCCCTCCCCAGAGGTCCCCCTACTGCCACACTGGTCCAGCCACCTGGCCAGTTATTTCTGGCCAAGGGGAAGGAGAAGTGAAACCAGATTGGGGGTGTGTGTGTGTGGCAAATCCCCAGACCAGTCTTCAGGGGCTGGCCACACCCTGTGGGCGGCCCTCCTTCATGCCCAGCCCCTGCCCGCACCCCCCCCCCCTCCACCCCCGCCACTAGTCCCAGCCCTAGGACAGGGCAGGCCCTGGCCACGCCTAGGCTGCACCCGATGGGGAGCGAGAAAGGGGAAGTAGTGCTCACTGCCCCGCCTGTCCAGTTCAGCCCCTTCTCCCACAGGAAGCCAGGCCCTTGAACTTGAGAGGGGGACTGCATCCCGGCTTGACTCACCTGAGCCCTGGCCGGGGCTGGGGCCTCTGAAAAGCTGACAGTCCAGCTTCTTGTGGTCCATGAAAGCAGTGATGGCTTCCAAAGGAAAGGTCTGCAGGCAGCGGCCGCAGGTCAACAGATCTGGGTGTTTGTCGGTCCAGGGCTGGCGGTCTGCTGGGAGGAAGCGGGTGGTAAGCGTCGGGTGGGGCCCGGATGGGGGCTGGGGGTTCCGAGGGAGAGGGAAACCCCGAAGGTCAGAAAGGGGGCTGGAGGCCAGGACCAAGCAAGGGAAATAAGGCCGGGGGGTCGGGGGTCGGGGGTCGGTGCCCGGTGCCCGGAGGAGGGCGTCCCACCCGAGTGAAGGGGGAGGGAGGCGGGGCAGGGGCAGGGGGCGCTCACCGCGAGGGTTGAGGATCAGCGGCGTCCACAGTGCCCACTGGTTCCGCGCGCCGAGGGCGTGGAGAGGGCTCCCGACGGGCACGGGGCCGGAGGAACGGCGGGGTTCGCCCTCGAACCGCCTCGGCGTGGGCACTTCCTTCGGGGAGAAGGGCCCCAGCCCCGGGGCCTGTAGGGGCCGCACGTCCGGCTCCGGCTTCATTTCGATGACGAGGGCCGGCATCTCCATCTCGTCGTCTGTGTTGGCGGCGGGCGCGGGGTCTACTCGGCGGGGCATGCAGCCGGCCTTGCGGCGGGACATGAGTCGAGGGCCGGGCGGGCTGGTGAGCGGGCGGGCGGAGGACGCGCGGGCCGTGCGCGCTCAGACCGAGGCGCTCAGGTGAGTGACTGCGGCGACCCGCCGCGAACTCTTACACGTGCTGGCCCGGCCCGTGGCTCCACCCACCGGGGCGGGACCTGGCGGGCGAGGACGGGGCGGCCCCGCAGGGGCCCGGGCGGCAGCCAAACTCGATCAAAGACGAGCCCACTGCATTTTCTTAGCGACCAAACCTTAACGACGCCGAGGTCACACGACCGTGCACACAAACGCCCATTCCTGATGCCTCTTTAGGACCGGTGAAACTGAGGCGCAGGGTGCCTACATGCACCCCCGAGAGAGAATACGGCGGGGGCCACGTTTCGGTCCATTCCTTTAAATGCGTTACAATAAAAACTCAGGGGGCAAACATTTATTGAGCACCTCGCACTAGGTTCTGTTCTAAGTACTGAGGGTACAGCGGTGAACAGGACAGCCAATAATCTCCTCTCACGCAGTGTATTTGTTGGGGGGAGACAGACTCTCAACAAGATAACTGTAAAACGGAGTGCCTTCCAGGACGGCAAGTGCGATGGGGCCCGAATAAAAAACTAGGAAGGGCTAGAAAGGGGCAGGGTTGCCGGGGTGGGGGTGGGGGTGGGGCCTTGGTCGGTTTTCTACAGGGAAAGAGCGTGGGGCACTTGAGCCCCGAAGGAGGTGAGGGGGCCGGCCAGCCTTGTATGTTCCAGAATAACAAGGAAGGGGGGGCAGGGCGTGGGGAAAGGCGTGGGTGATTGGGTTCTGTGAGAAAACTGCCTCGGGGCCGAGGGGGTCTTACGTCCACCTAAGGGCTTGGGATTTCTGAGACCAACGCCTGCGGCGGAGGGCTGGTTAAGGCGAGGAGGGTTGCGGTTATATACATCTACTCTGCTCCTAACCCTGGAATCACTATAAAAACCAAAGAAGCAACTGTCTTCACCTCCCTCCACGCGGGCCTCCTTGAACTTGCCTCCGCAAAGCAGCTCGCTCCGATCACTGTTTGAAGTGGCATCAACACCCCGCCCCACCCTCCAACCCTTACAAGTTTCCTTTTCTTCCTGGCACCGGCCACATCATAATAACATAGACCTATCGGTTGACTGTCCTCTCTTCCCTCCCCACCCCCACCCAACACAAGCTCGCTGAGGTCAGGGCCGGGGTCTGTCCTCCCCTGGGTCCCCAGCCCAGCTCTGAGTGAATTGCTCATGCTAATGTCCCAGGAGCACTGCTCCGGGCCAGAGGGTTCCTCATATTGTTATTCAGGTCTGAGCTCAATCGTCCTCCCGAGAGCCCAGGGCCTGCCTGGCCACTGTATCTAAAGCAGCTCCACCCTGCTCAAGGCCTTACAACCGTGACCTCCATCGGTCCTCACTTCTTCCCTGGGCCTCAGTTTCCCCATCTATTACCTAAAGGGGCTTCTTCACTGCCACCTCCTTTGACCACCCAACTAGAGAAGCTCCCCTGACTCTACCACCTGTTACCCCATTATCCTTATTTTATTCCTTTTGTTATCACTCATCGCAAGCCCTGCAGGATCTTGTTGATGTATTTGCTCAGGTATACCCTATTCTGCCCCTCCCGGCCCTCCAAAAATGTGGGTTCCAGAGGGCAAGAGTCAAATCAGCCTGGTTCACATAAATCCTGCTTGTTCATAGGTCAGTCAACAAATGGGTATTCAGCACATTCTCTTTCTCTTTCTTTCTTTCTTTCTTTCTTTCTTTCTTTCTTTCTTTCTTGTTTATTTATTTATTTATTTATTTATTTATTTATTTATTTATTTATTTAGAGCACAAGCTGGGGAGGGGCAGAGAGAGGGAGAGACAATCCCAAGCAGGTTCCACACCGTGGGTGCAGAGCCCCATGCAGGGCTGGAACTCCCAAAACGTGAGAGAGATCATGGCCTGAGCCGAGCTCAAGAGACGGACACTTAACGGGACCGCGCCGCCCAGGCCCCTCCAGCACGTTCTTTCAACAGACCTCACAGAGGGGCTGTGTGCCAGGCACTCGGTCTTGGGGATCTGCTGGGCCCGTGAAGCCCCTGGCTTATGGAAAAAATGTGGAAGAAGTGAATTCCATCTGAGCCCAGGGCAGTGAGGTTCCATAGCACTTAAAGCCAGACATTCCGTTTTTCAGGGCCTCAGTTTCCCCCTTTGTAAAACGGGGCGGCAGGGGGGACTGCTAGACAGGACCACCACCTCGGGTCCCGCTGCTGCCCTCTCCAAGCCTTTTTCCTGCCGTGTGGCTGCTCAAGGTTTCAAAGAGAGGAGCTGCGGTTTGGACTGCAGGTGAAGGGTAGGAGTGTGCACGTGTAGGGGGAGACCAAGCTCTGTCCTTAACTCAGCCCGGAGGAAGTCTCCTCCTCTCCGAACCTCAATTTCTTCTTCTCTAAAGCGGGCATCCCGGACGCCCCCCACCTCTCAGGCAGGCGGATCAGATGGAAGCGATGGGCCAAGCCGCGGGGCGGGGGTGGTGCGTGGGGCCGCGCTGGTTTCCGAGCCCGAGAGCCCGCCCGCCACCACGTGGGGCGGCGGCAGCGCGGGCGGAACCCAGGCTGGGCGGCTCGCGGCCCGCCCGGGCCTCTGCAGCTGGGGCGCCGGCGGAAGTGGGGGCGCCGGGCGCCGCGGACCTCGGTGAGTGCTTGGGTGTCGGTGGTGGGGCGCGAGCAACGTTTCACTCCCTCTCCCTGGGCCTGGCCCCGGACGCCCGCCCGCGTGCGCGGCCGGGAGTGGCGGGAAGGGGCAGGTCCGCGCCTGCAACGCTGGCCGTGGGGACGTTGTGGTCCCCGAACGCCTGCATGGGGACTCCGGTCCGGAACGCAGCATCGGGGACGTTCCGGCGCCGGGGTTGGGGTGAGGGGCCCGGGCCGCTCAGAATGCGCGAGCTCGCTCGCTCGCTCTCTCTCTCTCTCTCTCTCTCTCTCGGAAAATAACAGCGACGACGATGGTAACAGTAACAACGGCAGCAGTTGTGACTCCCGCCTTGGCGGGACGGAATCGCTTGCCTGATCTGAGCCGGGAGGACACCCAGCCCAGGCAGAGTGGGGAATGGACGCCTGGGGGCCGGGAGGACCTACTTAGTATAAGAAAAGGCTAGCTGTGGGTGGCCAGGGCGGAATTGAAAGGAAACTGACCAGCCCAGGGGGCAGAGGGGAGGGGAAGTATTCCGTGCTTGAGGTTCCGACCCTCTCTGGAGGCTCCATTTTAACTGATTTGCATCCCACAGGGCCACCTCTGGGGTGTGTGTGGACCTGTCGGCACCTTGGTTAATTAGCGAAGGTCTGGGGTCTTCACTGTTAACCTGGTAACTCGGCTCTCCCTCCCCTGGTTACTGAAGGGTTAACTAAATGTCTGTCCCTTGAACTGATCCATTCCCATTTTCTTGGAAGTCAGCACTGAGGCCCCAAGAAGGGAGGTCTGGGAATCTCCTGCCCTTCCTTGTCCGTGACCTAAGTGATGGGGTCTGGAGTCTTGACTGTGCAAGTCGTGGGGGTGGGTTGGGCCATTTTTCTGAAATCTTTGGGCCAGAAATCCTTGGCTTAGAGGATAAAGGATTCTGGGGCCTGGTCACCAGGGAGAAGGGATAATGCCTGCTTTTGCCTTCTTGGGCACACCCTACCTGACCTTTCTTAAACCAGCTTCTTATCAGGTCACACCTTGGTTCCAAGACCTCCAGTGGTGCGCTGACCCTGAAACAAATCTGCCCTGCAGAGAGCAGGGGTGATGGCCCGGGTCTCTTGTCCAACCCAGGGCAACCTGGGTTCACTCCCTTTTCCTGCCACTCACCAGCTTGCACCCAGTAAATGATTTGGCATCTCCCAGTGCCAGTTTCCTCTTCAGGAGAATGGGGATTACGTGGTATGACCAAATCTCCGTTGGTTGTTTTATCTAGGGATTTCATGTGATTTGTGGCCATTTGCTTAATTCCCATCGGTACCGAGGGACGTCCTAGCCCTACAGACTAGGGTGTATCTCTTAAATCACTGGAGTGTTAACCTAGGTTGGGTGAAAGCCCTGGGGGCTGATGAGCCTTGGCTAAGCTTGGAGTGCAAAGGGCAGTGGTCAGATAAATTAGAAAGTGTGTATATCCCTTAATCCCATCTACAGTGGTAGTGGTCAAAGAAAGGAAATGTAGTCCTGAAACTAACATAATAGTGCGTGTTAACTAACAGATCAAAAACGTGGGGCGCCTGGGTGGCTGGTTGAGCATCCCGACTGTGGCTCAGGTCATGATCTTGCGGTTCGCGAGTTCGAGCCCCGTGTCGGGCTCTGTGCTGACAGCTCAGAGCCTGGAGCCTGCTTCAGATTCTGTGTCTACCTCTCTCTCTCTCTCTCTCTCTCTCTCTCTCTCTCTCTCTCTCTCTCAAAAATAAATAAATAAGTAAAAACATTTAAAGAAACCCAACCCTCATCTGACCACTTTCCCCCACCCCCACGGCCCCCCACCCTGTTCCAGGCACCATCATGCTCTGCCCGCCTGGGCCACCGAGGCAGCTTCCTCACTGGGCTCCCTGCAGGGAGAGGGATCATGTGAAAATCAGTCAGGTCCTGTCCCTCCCCTGCTCAGAACCATCCCAAGGCTCTTGCCTCAGAGTAGTGAGCCAAGCCCTCAACTCAGTCTTCGAGGCCCCTCCCTGCCGATCTGCCTCTGCTCCCACCTCCTCCACGCTGGCCTCCTTGCTTTGCTTCAAAGTCACCCTTCCCTGGGCTTTGTATTTGCTGTTCCCCCTGACTGGAACGCTGTCCCCCCAGATGTCTACAGGACTCAGTTCCTTATTTCATTTAGGGCTGCTCAGATACAACACCCTTCCTGGCTGGCTATCTCTTGCCCCCTTCTTGGGCCAGGTGGCCCCTCTGGGCACCTGAGGCTCCTCCAGCCCTGCCCGCTCTGGGTAGGCATTGTCCAGAAACAAGTCTGTGTCACCCACTGGCCTGTGAGGGCAGTTTCCCTCACCACCCTGTCCCTGGCACCACCCCACGTGAGCTGGGCCCCCGAGCAGGCACTTGGATAATGTGGACGGGTGGATCCTTCCTTTCCCTTCAACAAATATTTACTGAGCTGTGTCTGCATAGGGAACAGACTGCGGGGTGGCGGTGGAGGCTGTGAAGAGGGAAGGAGAAGACCGTGGCTGGACCAAGGAGGAGGCAGGGGGAGGGGAGAGCGAGCGGAGGTGAAAAGTTGCTGGATTCTGGATACCTTTCCGAAGGTGACTTTACCGCTGGGTTGAACGTGGGTGGCAGAGAAAGCCAGGAGGAGTCCAGGGTGCTGTGGGATGTCCCTTGTGTGATCACCCATTGCCGCCTGAAAGGGTCTCCCGGAACCCTAGGAAGTCTGAGTCTTTTTTTTTTTTTTTTTCTTTTTTTGCTTCATTTTACAGATGAGGAAACCGAACAGGGAGGCTGTTTGCAGAGCCGCGGTGACCTGTCCAGATCCCTCGTAGCGAATCTGGGAGGGCTAAGAACCGCCCGTCTCCCCGAATCCACACCTTCCTGTCCGCTGAGGGGGGTAAGCTAATGGCCTGCCTCCCGGTCTTGTGTGGCCTGCCAGCCAAGAGTGGGTTTTACCTTTTTTCCCTTCAGTATACTTTATTACTTATTTTGAGAGACAGAGAGAGAGAGCACGAGCAGGGGAGGGGCAGAGAGAGAGGGCGAGAGAATCCCAAGCAGGCTCTGCCCTGTCAGCACGGAGCCCCTCGCGGGGCTCGAACTTGGGAACGGTGAGATCACGACCTGAGCTGAAATCGAGAGCCGGGACACTTAACCGACTGAGTCCCCCAAGTGCCAAGGTTTACTTTTGAAGTGCTTGGAAGACTTTGAGAAATTTTTGTGGTGCATGAAATTAGATCAAATTGAAATGTCAGTGTCCCAATAAGTGAGGTTGTAAGAACGGCCGTGTTTATTATTTTCGTGTCTGTCTGTGGCCGCTGTGTTGCAACTGTGACAAAGTTGAGTAGTTGTGACAGACCCTATAGCCCACAGAGCCTACAGTATTCACCGTCAGGCCCCTTACAGAGAAAATTTGCCAACTTCTGCTAATAGGGATTCAATCCGGGTCAGCAGTAGGGGTGTCTGATCTGTAGGACTTAAAAGCCAGTCCCTGGGAAAGGTCTGGACCGGGACAGAAAGTCTGGGGAGTAGGGAAGGATAGGAGAGGAAGTTCAGATTCCTGAAGGGGACATCTAACATTTTTAAGTTTGATTTAGTTTAATTTAATTTAATTTTAAGTAGGCTCCATACACAGCCCTGAGATCAAGAGCCTCATGCTCTTCCAATTGAGCCAGCCAGAGGCTCCGGGAGTCTAACATCTTTTAAGGGACACGGAAGCATTACGATATGCCCCTGCCTTTTTGAAATTAGAATTTTAAAACTACTGGGGCGCCTGGAGGGCTCGTTCAATTAAGCGTCCAACTCTTGATCTCGGCTCAGGTCATGACGTCAGGCTCATGAGTTCCAGCCCTACGTTGGGCTCCACACTGGGGTTGCAGCCTACTTAAAAAAAAAAAAAAAAAAAAAAAAGAGTAGGCTCCATGCCCAATGTGGGTCTGGAACTCACGACCCTGAGGTCAAGAGTCACATGCTCTACTGACCGAACCAGCCAGGCATCCCCTGAAGCCTTTTTTAATGTTAATTAGTTTATTTTTTTAATGTTTATTTATTTGAGAGAGAGAGAGAGAGAGAGAGCGAGCACGCGCGTGCACCAGCATGGGGAGGGGCAGAGAGAGAGAGGGAGAGAGAGAATCTCAAACAGGCTCTGTGCTGTCAGTATAGAGCCCGATGTGGGGCTCGATCCCAAGAACCATGAAATCATGCCCTGATCCGAGGTCAAGAGTTGGATGCTCAACCCATCGAGCCACTCAGGCGCCCCTTTAAAGCCTTTTTGTTTTTTAAAGTTATCCGTATGTTACAGCACTTGGCTGGCTCGGTCAGTATGGCCTGCCACTCGATCTCAGAGTTGTAAGTTCCAGCCTCACACCGAGTGCAGAGATCACTTTAAAAACAATAAAATCTTCTAGGGGCACCTGGGTGGCTCTATCCGTGGGGCGTCCAGCTTCAGCTCGGGTCATAATCTCGAGGCTCGTGGGTTCAAGCCCCGCATTGTGCCCTTTGCTATCGCTCAGCGCGGAGCCCATTTGGGATCCTCTGCCCCCCCCCCCTCGCTGCCCCTCCCCCACTAGGGTGCACGCGCGCACTCTCTCCCTCTCTCAAAAATAAATAAACATTTTAAAAATATTTAAAGAAATAAGATCTTTTAAAAGAAAAAGGCTTTACTGAGGTGTAATTCTCATACCATATTATTCACCAAGGGGGGACAGTTTTGGTAGTCACAGCAGGGGGTAATGGGGGGGGTTGCTACTGGCATCTAGTGGGTGGAGGCTAGGGCTGCTGCTAAAGTCCTACACCTATGCCCTGGACAGCCCGCCACGCCACCACAGAGAACGATCCAGTCCCGGGGCACCTGGATGGCTCTGTCCGTTAATCATCCGACTTCTGCTCAGGTCATGATCTTGTGGTCTGGGAGTTCCAGCCCCGTGTCGAGCTCTGTGCTGACAGCTCAGAGCCTGGAGCCTGTTTCGGATGCTGTGTCTCCCTCGCTCTCCCTGCCCCTCCCCTGTTCATGCTCTGTCTCTCTCTCTCTCAAAGATGAATACACTTAAAAAAAAAAAAAAAAAAAAAAAAGAACGATCCAGTCCCAAATATCATCAATGTTAGGGAGAAACCCTCCTCTACGGCCTTGACCCGTTGCTCTGTGGCGTCCGTGCTCTCAAGGAGCTCACCGTCGAGCTGCAGAGACGAGAAGAGCTGAACAAGAAAAACGATCATCTTTTTTTTTTTTTGAGACAGAGGGAGACGGAGCGTGAGTGGGGGAGGGGCAGAGAGAGAGGGAGACACAGAATCCGAAACAGGCTCCAGGCTCTGTGCTGTCAGCCCAGAGCCCGATGCGGGGCTCGAACCCACGAACCGTGAGATCATGACCTGGGCCGAAGTCGGACGCTTAACCGACTGAGCCACCCAGGCGCCCCAAGGATCGTCTTGATCTCCCCCGTACCGGGAGTGGCCCAGGGATGGGACACCATGTGCCTAAAATTTGTCACTTCTGTTAATCACCAGGCCCTGTCCAGCCTGGAAACTGTCCCTTGAAGTCACCCAGCTGAGCAGGCCTGGGAGCTCAATCTCCCCTCCATTCATTCAAGCAGGAACGATGTTTTAAGGAGCCTGGTCTCTGGGCCGCTGCCACACAGTGTTCCAGGAAGCTGGGGGTCAGCACCCGGGGGAAAGCAAGGTCGCTGCCCACGGGGAGGGAGGCAGGCATCTAGCGGAGGAGAAGGGCCCTAGGCAGGACCATAAATATACAATATCACGTCAGAAGAGTCCTGCGCGCTACCAACGAGGCTGGTGAGGGCGTGGAAGAATGTGGGGTGGCACTTGAAGATGGTGTGCTCAGAGAAGGCGGAGAGGAGATACAAGCAGAGGGGAACTTCAAGTGCAGGGGTCTGAGAGGGACTTCTGTGCCAGGCGCGTTTGCAGCCCAGCAAGGCAGCCAGAGGGGCTGGGCTAGACAGAGAAGCATGGCCCGCCACGAGGGTGCTGGCGGGGTGCGAAGCACGAGCGGCCGATGGGGCTGTGGTGAGGACGTTGGCTTTGCCTCTGGGCGAGGCTGAAGCCAGGGGAAGGTTCTCGGCAGAGGACGCATGTGACCTGACTCAGGTGTTAGATGGTCGGTGTTAGGTGCGAACAAGGTCCTTCTGGCTGTGCGTGGGGACAGACTTGCAGGTGGGGGGACAGTGAAAGTGGAAGCCAGGGGCCCGGGTGGAGTTGACTTCAGTAGTCCAGGAAGGAAGCGACGGGGGGCAAGATGTGGGCAGGGGTGTCAGGCTGGGAATACGTCCACAACAGTTGATCCTTGAACGGTGGGGGGTTTGAACTGCATCGGTCCACTTACACATGCATTCTTTTTTCAATAAATACAGTACAGTACTGTAAATGTATTTTCTCTTCCTTATGATTTTCTTCTTCTTTTTTTGATGTTTATTTACTAATTTTGAAAGAGAGTGCGCGCACGCACCAGTAGGGGCGGGGCAGAGAGATAGGGAGAGAGAGAGAATCCCAAGTAGGCTCCGTACTGCTCAGGTCCTGAGCCAAGATCAAGAGTCAGATGTTTAACCAACTGAGCCACCCGGGTGCCCCATTTTTTGTTTTTTAATTTAAGTAGGCTCCATGCCCAACACGGAGCTTGAACTCACAACCCTGAGATCAGGAGTCGCATGCTCTCCCCACTGAGCCAGCCAGGTGCCCCCATTTTTTTTTTTAACGTAAGCTCTGTGCCCAAAGTGGGGGGTCAAACTCTTGGCCCTGAGATCAAGAGTGACATACTCTACTGACTGAGCCAGCCCAGCACCCCAGGACCTTGTTATTTTTAAGGAACTCAGGCTCACTGTTTTGTAGAAGTCCCTCAATTTGAGCTTTCTCGTGATTGGATTTCAGTAATCCATATTTGGTAGGAATACCACGGAAGTGGTGCCCTGTCCTTCAGTGTATCACCTCAGAAGGCACATGGGGTCTTTTGTCCCTTTACTGCACATGATGGCTTTGATGCCTAAGTTAAGGTAGGGTCCACCAGATTCCTCCACTATAAAGTTACTGTTGGGGCGCCTGGGTGGCTCAGCCGGTTAAGCGTCTGCCTTTGGCTCAGGTCATGATCTTGAGGTTCGTGAGTTTGAGCCCCGCATCGGGCTCTGTGCCGACAGCTCAGAGCCTGGAGCCTGCTTCGGATTCTGTGTCTCCCTCTCTCTCTCTCTCTCTCTGCCCCTCTCCCGCTCACACTCTGTCTCTCTCTCAAAAATAAACATTAAACAAAATTAAAAAAAAATAAAGCTACTGTTTATTCTTTACAACAAATAAGTATTTTGTGAGGAAGTACTTGAAGATTGTGTAGATACACTAGACTTCATCCAACACTCGTCTACAAATTTTAGTGTCCATTGGTGATTTTAGTTCCTTCCCTTATTTATTCTTTTATTTATTTATAATTAGCATGAAGTCATGAATTTATGTTTTATTCAGTGGGTTATAATCTGTAACTGTCATTATTTTAACATTCACATCATTCCAGAGTTGGCCACTGGAAGCCCTTTCAAATTGGCTTCGGTGTAATTGGGAATTTATATGGAAGAGAGCATTTCCTTATGGATGGGATGGGCTGTGCGTGAGGGAGGAAAGGAGGAACTTGTGAATGGTGGTACCAATTCCTGAGGAGGAGGTTACTGGCTGATTTTATTTATTTATTTTTGAGAGATGGGGCACCCGGGTGGCTCAATGGGTTAAGCGTCCGACTTTGACTCATGATCGCGCAGTTTGTGAGTTCGAGTCCCGCGTCGGGCTCTGTGCTGACTGCTCAGAGCCTGGAGCCTGCTTCGGATTCTGTGTTCTCGCTCTCTCTCTGTCCCTCCCCTGCTCACGCACTGTCTCTCTCGGTCTCAGAAATAAAACATTAAAAAAAAATTTTTTTTTTTTTTTTAATTTTTGAGAGAGTGCGAGAGCAGGGGAGGGACAGAGAGAGGGAGAGAGAGAGAATCCTAAGCAGGCTCTGCGCTGTCTGCCCAGAGCCAGTGTGGGGCTTGAACCCACGAACTGTGAGACCATGTCCTAAGCGGAAACCAAGAATCAGACCCTTAACGGACTGAGCCACCCAGGCACCCGGGCGGCCTTCTAAAAGGAGAAGCAGGAACTGGGTTTGGGACAAGTTGAGATGAGGTGGGGTAGACAAGCCCCTGCTCCCCGCCTCCCCCCTTGTAGTCCCACCCTCCCTGTGTAATGGCTTCCCTCTGTTCCCCTTCACCCAACAGCCAGGATAATGCAGACTCCACCAGCCATTCCTGTGCCTGTGCTCCGGCTCCCCCGGGGCCCTGATGGCTTGAGCCGAGGCTTTGCCCCAGACGGACGCAGGGCCCCCCCGAAGCCAGAGGTTCCTGGAAGCCCGGGGTCTCCAGTAGGTCGAGAGTCTCGGGAATCCCGGGAACAGCAGGCCCGAGCCGCACTTCGGGAACGCTACCTCCGCAGCCTGCTGGCCATGGTGGGTCACCAGGTGAACTTCACACTGCACGAGGGTGTGCACGTGACCGCCCACTTCGGAGCCGCCGACCTGGACGTGGCCAACTTCTACGTGCTGCAGCTGCAGACGCCGATAGGCGTGCAGGCCGAGGCGCTGCTGCGGTGTAGTGACATTATTTCCTACACCTTCAAGCCGTGAGGACGTGACTGTGTTCACCTTTCTGCCCGAGGCCTGGCCGCAGTATCCCAGCCTCCAAATGTTCACGAGCCCAGCACCCTGGGCCCCACAGGGTTTGGAACATCCTTGGAAATTTGAGCCGAGCGCCGGGCAACTCTGGCTTCTTGGGACCTGCGGAGTCCAGTCAGTAAAATTCTGCAACCACAGGAGTTCTAGAGCCCGTTGGAAGGAATGCTCTGCCTCACAGGAATCTAAACTCTTAAAACAGGGCCTCAGGCCAGTTCCTGAAGACTGGGGATTGGGGGCGGTTAATAAAGGGCGGCACATCGCAGAGTGGGAAATTGTCTGTTGAAGTTGCGAAGTTCAGCCACCCTGGAGAAAGTCCCCTCTACTAAAGAACCCATTATTCCAGGAAGACTCCTGTCTTGTTTTGTTTTGTTTTGTTTAAATGTGCCACATAGGGATGGAACCGGATTTAGGAAATGGGAGGTTGACTATCCTGGTGGCCCTCGAGAAGAGGACACATCAAGGGGCCGGGAGGAACTGGGGGATAAAGGTGGAGATTGGGTTGGTCCTCACTCTCTGGGGGAGTGGCTGGAGCTCCCGGAGCAGGAGCAGCGGGTTTGGAAGATTCAGACGCGGTTTCTTTCCTAGGGTGGGCGGGGGGGGGGGGGGGGTGGTCACCGCGAGGGGCGTGGTTCGCATTGGGTTGGTTACACGGTCGCCGGGCCCTTGGGTGGCGTGGGCCTCACTCTAGGGAAGGCGGGTTCGTTTCCCCGCCCGCTCCGGAAGTGGTCGGACCCGGACCCGGTGCGGCCGCACCTTTGAGGACAGGCTGAGGACGGGGTTGGGGTGACGCTTCACCCTTTCTCCATTTCGCTCCAGCTGTGTAGCCGTCCATTATCACTCGCTTCCCTTATCCCCGCCACTAGTCGTTTTTCTGGTTTCGCTGGGCTCCAGTGATTTCTGCCCCCTTTGTAATGCCATCAACTTTGGAATGTAAGTGAAGATCCCATTAAGTATAGATGAGATTTGCTTTGTTCGTCTTCAGTCGCGAAAGTGCGGCGGCTGGTGATGTTGAACGGGGCGGGCGGAGAGCCTCAGCTCCCCTACGTCCGTCCATTCAAGACACCGCCTCCAGCGAGTCGCGGGTCTAGCTCTCTAGTTGCCTAGGCAACGACGTCGCGCGCGCTCTCTCTCCTCCCCGAATCCTCCCTCCCTTTTTTAGTTTTAGCCCCGCCTTTCCCCACTCCGAATTGCTGGAAGTGCTGGGAAAGCCTGGCGAAAGTGCCGAGGCGAATATTAAGCGATTGAAACGAGCCGTGGTGTGGGTGTGTGTGTGTGTGTGTGTGTGTGTGTGTGTGTGTGTGTGTGTGCGCGCGCGCACGCGCGCGCGTGTGCGTGTGGAGGGAGGGGTGTGTGGGGCGTTAGAACTCGTGCGGGTTCCTCGGGGCTTGGTAATCTACCGTCGCCCGGTAGTTTGGTTGGCAGATTCGTTTCCTGGTTTTGGAATTTCTTCCATCATCCAGGATTTTTTGTTTTTTAATAGAGGTTATGATACTCCTCATGGGCTCATATTTATTTTAGTCTTTTAATTTAAGTTGTATTTCACGCAACGCTGTCCAAATACAGAGAGCTACTGATGAAACTGCAGTCTGCAAATGGAAGGCTAGAGCGTCTGTAGCAAAGAGGCCAAGGCTTCGTCTCCAGGCAGAGGATCCGTCTGTCAGCATCTATCACCTGTACTCATATATTCAATACAGCCTCTGTCCCTTTCCTTTCAAGTTCTCTGTCCCTTTGCCTCTCTCCTTATCAGTTGGCCTAGCTCCGCCACGCAAATGTTATTTTTATCAACTCCCTTCCCCTCACAGTTGCCTGAGTTCGTGACGAATGTGTGCGAGTCTGAACGTTAGTTACCCAGTTGGAGGAGGGTGGCGGGGTGGGGGCGGCCCACATTCGCGCTTGCGCGCTGCTCCGGGAGACGGCGTCCACCTCGCCCCGCCCCTCGTACTCTGCAGTTCCGGCTCTGCAGATTCACTGCTCACGTTTCTTTTTCCCGTGGCTCTTTCTGCCTTTTGTTACCCGCTTCAACAACCCGCGAGACAACTCTACCCGCGAGTAGCGTATATTGATTTTCTGCTTTCATTAGTACGCGCCGGGCTCCCCGGCTGTTAACGAAAGTGCGGCTGCGGACGAGCAGGCGCGCGCGGGGCTCGGGGGAGGCGCGCTCGAGCTCCCGGCGGCGACGACAACGACGACCAGGAGGGAGGACGGAGGCGGCGCCTGAAGCAGCGGCGGAGCCCATGCCCCGGGACGGCGGGCGGGCCCGGAGAGACAAGTCCGGGGCCCGGGACATGTCCCCGGGGCCCCCGTGAAGAGGCGGCGGCGGCGATGGAGACCCCGCCGCAGGAGGGGCCGCCCGGGCCGGGCGCGGACGGCGACGCCGAGGAGGCCCCCGCCGAGGCCCGGTCTCCCAGCCCCGCATCGTCCCCCGCCGACGGGCGCCTCAAGGCTGCGGCCAAGCGCGTCACGTTCCCCTCCGACGAGGATATCGTGTCCGGAGCGGTGGAGCCCAAAGACCCCTGGAGACACGGTAGCTACTGCCGGGGCGCGGGGGCGGGCTCGTGGCTGACCGGGAGTCAGTGCAGCGCCGGGCATGGAGGCGGTGCTCGAGAAGTTGCACCTAATGATTTAAGGAGACTGTCGTCACTTTAGGGCTGCAAGGTGTTTGAGACGGGGTGGCGTTAGATTGGGAAGGTGAAAAGTAACTGGTTTATGCCCCGCCGCACTCCTCGCGGACGCTGAAGGTGGTCGTTTTAGGAGTTAAAATGATAAGCAATCAAAGAAAGTTTGGAGGCCAGGGAGACCGGGCGGGCGGTAGCCTTTGAGATCATAGTCCCACTCCCCCACCCGCCCGAAAGGATAAAGAGACTCGTCTGGGGAGGAAGAGGGGGTCAAAATTGGCGTTCCAAGGGCAGGTGGACGTTTGATGGGCCCATAGGGCTGGAAAGAGGTTAAGCTGCTAGTCCGCAAACCTCGGGGCGGGGGGTAGTCATGCCGCTCACTTTTTTGGCTGTGAGGAGGAAGAATAAACCAGCGGGACTGTGGCTGTGGAGGAGTTGGTAAAACCTGAGGTTGGGAAAAGGGAGTCAAGCTAAACAGCTTCCCAGAAAAGGAGCAGAGTTGGTGGTCACTTTGGGGGTGGACGAGGTAGTCGGAGGAGGTGTTGGATCTTGGCATTAAGAAGAAAAGTCACTGCATGCCTTTTTTGCTTTCGCCCAAAAGTGAAGCAAAACATGATCAGCCATTAAGGAGCAGAGGAATTTTGGGGCCTGGCTCTAGAAGGGTCTCTTTTTAAAAAATTTTCCCCCCCTCCCCGCCTTGAGAAAGAGTTAGGGATTTGGAGTTGCTGGTCGGTAGAAAGTAGGAACCGGAAGAAGTTTGCTGGCTTGAGACGTTGGGAGAGGGAGCAAGTCTGCCGATTCTGGGTTCCCTGGAGGTCAGATTAGTGTCGGGAAGGGGCAGCTGGAGGAGTGTGTGTGTTTTGCGTATAGAGCTCAAGTTGGAAAGTCGCTTCGTAGATGAACGGCAGTGTTGAGTCTTTCTGTGCGGGGGACGTCGGTCAGTCTTGCCAGGGTGGAGCCCACCAAGAGAGGGATCGGCCTGGCCCCGGCTCAATAGAAGTTGGTCACTTGGTCGCTGGAGAGAGGAGGCACTGTTGCTAGTCTGTGCGGTGGAGGAATTGAGGACTTCATGTGAGAGTGGGAAACTCGGTAACTGGAAGCTGAGCGCGGAGGGAGCCTGCCATGAACGCCAGTTTGGCCAGGTATTGTTAAGGAGACAATTTAAGATTGTTGGCATTGAGAGCCAGCCAAGTCTCGGGCTCTAGGCCCCAGGGATAGGTGTCACTTTTGAGTCGGAGAACTTGGGCTGGCGGCGGGGAGGAGTCAAATGGGCCCTGGCTATAGCATGGTACCCAGTCCGGGGAGTTGAGGGCACGAGGGGAGAAAGGCCTGGATGCGCAGGGCAGGGTGGTGAAGAGCAGACCTTCCAGTTCAAATCCTGACTCCTTTGTACCCACTCCCTGACCTCAGGCTGGTTATCTAACTCTTCGGAGCCTCAGTTTTCCGACTGTGAGGTGGGCGACAATACCCCTGCCACGGAGGCATTTAAGAGAGGACTAAATATGATGATGTACGAGAGGCCATTGGCGAGGATGAGCTTTCGTGAAGTTGCAGTTGATGTCGGTCAACATGGGTGATGTGGGGTGATATTGGTGATCTGAGGGGCTAGTCTGGAGAAGTCAGCTCATGGGGTCGGGGCCTGGATGTCTCTGCTTCACAAGCTGCGAGGAGAGGGGCGGAGAGGGTGGGCCGTGTGTGTGGGCTTCGGGGTCAGGGGGGGGGGGGGGGGGGGGGGGCCCCGGGGCCGGGGGGGGGGGCCGGCAGAGTTGGCACGGGTGGCGGAGCGGGGGCAGTTTCTGGTGTGCAGGTTCCCAGAAGAGGAACAGCTGTGTGTAACCAGCTGTTTGCTTTTGAGTCAAGCTTTTTTTCCACCCTGAGCCTCCTGTTCTTTGCTCTGCAGATGGAGGTGCTAATTTCTACCGCCGGGTAGTTGTGAGGATTAAATACAATAGTCCTTGTAAATCCTGGCCACATAAATAGCAGCTGCTGTTCCCCCGCAGGGGAGAACGTCAAGAAAGAGGGGTCGCTTGGAGTCTGGCTGGGAGGAGTTTGAGGGGATGGTTGCCGATCAGTCTTCTCCGGCTTCGGCGGAGGTGGCCACAGCTTACAGGCTGGGGGAGTCCCTTCTTTCTGGCAGTGTAAAGAGGGACGCAGGGACTGGTTAGGACTCCCACTCCGGAGGAGTCGGTGGGTCTGAGGGAGAGGGGCAGCGACACGGAGAAGTTGAGAAATCAGTGTGTGTGCTGGAAGAGCGCGTGTGTCGTGGCTGGGGTGGGGTGGGGTGGGGTGGGGGCTTGGCCTGGCTGTGACGGAGTTGGGTGATCTTGGTCCCCAAGCAGGGGAGGCGTCATGGGTGCAGTTGGTGAGGTTAGTGGGATTCGCAGGACGGGAAGTCGGAAGGCCTGCCATGCTGAGGAGCAGGAGGCTAGCCTCTGTACCTGGGGAGGACAGCGGGTTGCTGCCTGGCCCAGGACCAGGGAAGGTGGAGTCTTGCCAGGCCGTAGAAGCGGAGACCCAGTACAGAAGGCTGGGCCAAGGGGGTTACCTGGTTGGGAGGCCAAAGGGTCTTGGCTGGGGGCTGCAGGGAGGACTTGGTCCGTCCTAGAGGAGGGCGGGAGATCTGTTGGACTTGGTCTGTAAGCCGTGGGAAAGCACAGAGGGTGTCATTTGAGCTGCGGACCTGGTGGGCAGGGTGACGGAGGAGTCATTCTGGGGCCTGCTGCGGTGATGT